TAGGAGCAACTGGTATCTTGAACCTCCGACCTTAAAGCCAAGCTTGCAGTCCAGAGCATTAACCCACACAGCTACACCAGGACTCTTCTCTAATAGTGTTTAATCCAGCAGTGCCTACTTCAAAGCACTGCTGTAAGGATGAAGTACATATAATGCACTTAACATAATATACTACTACAGTGAGTATGCACTCAAATGTCAGCCATTATTATGATTAGTGTCATCAGAAGTATTCTAAGGAAAGTATGTCCCTTTACTCTCCACATTTTAGACCACTATCTTGTGGTGGGGTAAGTCCTGGTGGAGCGGTAAGGACAAGCACTGGTCTGCTAACCACAAGGTCAGTGGTTCAAGCTTTCCAGCTGCTCTTCAGAAACCCTATATAGAGTCGCTATGAGTTGTAACCAACTTGATGGCAGATAACAATATTTTGGGATAAATGTCATCATCTGGATACATTTCTCATTCTCATGCTCCCAACATTAGTTCAACAATAATGCAGAAGTCTTTGGTAAGAGGACTTTAAAGAGCTGTTCCTTAGTAACAGCTTTATCGTCAATTAGTTAGTAGGTCAACAAACAATACTGAAGAGTTGGGAAAGTATATGTTGAGGAGCAAAACTTAATTCCTTTAGCATAAAAGTAGTATTGTGCATGCTTGTTTTATGTAAAAGTATATTCCCACAGTTCTGCTAAATTTCTGGAATTCAGCATATATAAATATTACAATTCCAAAGTTAAATAAAACTTCCAAAAATGAATCAAAATTAACTATGCTATGATATAAACTTTCTGGTGTGGCACTGTACAGGATCAGCACTGGACTGCAAACCACAAAGTCAGCAGTTCAAACTCATCAGCTTCCCCTCAAATACACAGGGTCACTGTGAGTCAGAACTAACTCCTTGGCCCCTAACAACAACAATATAAACTAATTACCTTTTCCGTAGGTGTAAATGAGGGATTTAAAAGCTAACAGACACACTAAACTTAAAAGTTCAATCTAAAATGAAAATTGCAGTAGTCAATAAAGTTTGTATTGAGAGATTTTTCAATTGAAGCATCACTTCACAGAAAATATGCTATAACAATTGTGGTGCAGTGAGTTCTATCTGTGGCCTCTTTTCTGAGTCTTTTTGACAAACAGCTGGGAGATTTTTTTCCCCTCTAATCCCTGAATTGTTGTTACCTTTGCCCTAATTCTTTGAAAAAGCAACTTGCAATACCCCCAGTTACTTCTACCCCAGAAGTTTTGTCACTGCTGTCCTGGTGAGGACCTACCTGTCTGTTGACTGACATCTCAGTTGTTGACTGACTGAGAATTAGCTGGGCTCTAATCTGGAGAGAAAGCCATACTTGTAACTAAATGCATAAAGGGCTAAAACCCCGAGGTTTCAAAAGCCAAGATGGAGTGCTGAGACCTGTTGGTTAAGAGCTGGGCCTGTTACCTGGAAAGCCTACAACACAGAGAGCTGAAGTGGCAGTGAAGCAGGGCCATTCACAGATAAGGAAACAAAAACATGAAAGGGATGAAACATTTAAATTCTACAATTCCAGCTACTGGTAGACTGTGAAACACTCATTCAGATGTGACACTGTCTGTTAAACCCTGGTTGAAACATCACTGAATCAAACCACACAGGCTTTAGTGTGGCTTTACACGATCAAAGACTCAAACAATTTGAACCTTGCCTACCTGACCATTCTTGTCCCTCACTACACACTTTGCAGGCTGAGCTCTTCCAATACACATTGCAATTCTCTAAATAACCAGAGTTCTTTCTCAGAAATGAAATATGCTCTCTACCTTTATTTAAAAAGTCATATTTTAAGATTTGTCACAAGCTAAAATGCAAAAGTGATGATCTGCCCTGTAAACCTTCACTCAATCCACAACAAAAACTAAGAAAGAAAAACAAAAAACAAAAAAAAAGGTGGTGAAGAACTAAGAAAAGCAAAAAGAAAAGTTTAAAGGCTCATTCCGAAAATAAAATTTTCATTAGTTCAGTATTTTCAAGTTTGTTTACTATAATCAAAATACTGAAATTGCTGTGGATTCAAATTTTAAAGCAATATAATTGTCATTATGTTAGAGAAATGCATTCAGAATGTATACCATAAAGTATAACAAGTGTAATCTAATCAAAGTAAAAGAGACTGATCAAAGAATTAACAATAAGACACCTTACTTCTCAATGAAAATTAATCAGCAAAACTACCATCACTACCATGAGTTTAGTCTTCAAATAGCTATTTAATAAATGACCTAAATTAATCTTTCTCTTAAAAAAAAAAACCTAATCTTTTATTCCTGATACTCCATGTAATTTAAATTTTCTTAATTCCTACAATAACAAAAATACAGCTACTGAGTGTTCACCATGTGGTATTTGTCATTTTGTATACAACAGTTCATTAAGTGTTTACATAAATTCTATATTCTTGGTATCCACATCTCTTTGATATATTCCAAACAAGAAACAAAGACTGTGAGCAATTCATTTATTTATTTAAAGTCCACACTACCAGTAGTAAGTAGCAAGAAAAGAATCTCTAATTTCAAAATCTCTGTCCTTCATACATTAGTATGGCATCTTTTTAATCCTTCATCATATATCAACTCACCAACTTTGTCCAGTAAAACTGGGTTTATGTTATTGTACAGATCTATTAAAAACTCACAGTCAAAAAGTCAATTCCAACTCAGAGTGACTCTAGAGGGCAGAACAGAGTTGCTCTCTATGGTTTCTGAGACTGTAAATCTTTACAGCGACAGACCATCTCATTTTTCTTCTATAGAGCAGCCGGTGGGTTTGAACTGTTGACCTTGATGTTAGTAGAAACCAATGCTTGTATTATAGTGCCAAAGAATATACTGGTATTAAATGGAAAACTAAAACCCTTTCATCTAACAGTGACAGTTAATTAATCACTTTGTATAGCAAGACAGTTGACCCCTGAACAACACGTTTGAACTGCATTTCTCCAAAAAACAGTGGTCCACTGATACGTAATTTTATCCTTTCAATAAATATACTGGAGTCTATTACTGTATAGGAGTACTGATGTGGTGTTGCGGGGTAATACGCTGGGCTGCAAGTTCAGCTTAAACCACGAGGTCGGTGGTTCCAGCTCACCAGCCACTCCTCAGAAACCCTATACAGATATGCTATAAGTTGGAACTGACTCAACGGCACTTAACAACAACAACAACAACATGACACAGGCACTGAAACTAAAGCAAATGGTGCAAGAAGGATTGGTAGCATATGGAAATATTTTTGGAAATGAAAAAGTCAGGCAGTATTACAACGTAATACTGTTCCATAAAGTTACTCCAAATTTGTCTGCCTCCCTTGCCTCCGTTTCCATCTCCTCCAGCTCTTCCGTCTCTGCCTGAGACAGCAAAATCAACCCTGCCTCCTGCTCCTCAGCCTACTCAACATGAAGACAATCCATCTTATAAACAGACAACATAAACTTACATTAATAAATACAATGCAGTACTGTAAAAGTATTTTCTCTTCTTTATGATCTTCTAAGTAACATTTTCTTTTCTATTGCTGTTAAGTGCTGTTTTATTATAAAACTACAGTATGTAATACATATAACATAAAAAAATATGTGTTACTCAACTGTCTATGTCATTATAACAGTAGGCTGTTAGTAGTTAAGTTTGGGGGACTTAAAAGTTATATGCAGATTTTGAACTGTATGAGAGGACCCGTGCCCCTAACCACCTACCATCTTGCTCAAAGGTCAATTATATAACTACATCCTGACATAGAAATCATGAAAACTGTTTCTTTACTGAGTAAGTGATCTAAAATATTAAGCAGTCCAATTATTTCTGGGTCAGTTTCTTTTTCAATGCTTTATGATTTATATATAAAAATAAGTTATTTTTCTAAATACAAGCATATGTATTCACAATTAAAATAAATTCTCTAATATTTTGGTGTTTATTACATTTACATCAAAGAACTCATAAATACACAATGCTTTACAAATGTTAATACTTTTTATTAAAGTGATTATATCATTATCATTCAAATTAGTCTATTTTTAAGGGTGGCAGAACCCAAAACCCACTGCCTTCAAGTGGATTCCAACTCATAGCAACCGTATAGGACAGAGAAGAACTGCGTCCACAGCACTTTCAAGGTTGCAAACTGCTGCATCTTTCCTCCATGGAGAGGCTGTCAAATTCAAACTATTGACCTTCTGGCTAGCAGCCCAAAACTTAACCCAGTGAAACACCAGGGCTCCTTAAGGATAGAAAAAAACTAAATCCACTGCTGTTGAGTTAATTCCAATTCATAGCAACCCTAAAGAGAAGAGCAGAACTACGCCATAAGGTTTCCACAGCTGTAAATCATTATGGGTGCAGAAAACCTCATCTTACTCCCACAGAGCAGCTGGTGGTTTCAAACTGCTGAGCCTTGTGGTTAGCGGCCCAATGCTTCTACTACACTGCCAGGGCTCCATTTAAGGATAGAAGGGACACTACTTATCAAGATGCAATAACCAAGACTATTCTCCAGTTCACCAACATGTACATACACTCAATTCCCTCCTACCCCTCCATTATCCACCCTCTATTATCCATCATAAGGAGCTGTGGTAGCGTAGTGGTTACGAATCGGGCTGAGAACCACAAGGTCAGCAGTTTGAAACTACCAGCTGTTCTGCTGGAGAATGATGAGGCAGTGTGCTCCCATAAAGATTTATAGCCTCGGAAACCCTGTGCAGGATCGCTATGAGTCGGAACCGACTCCACGGCACACAACAACAACAATTATCCATTATAGTCACAGTCCTCCTTTAAGTACTAGGAGGAAAAGTATATTCTTGTCTCTTTATGTAAAAACAGTTAACTATGTATTTGATTATGGTAGCACAATATTAAAAAGATATTTTTTGACTCAGTACCATATTAAAAAGACTTTCATTAGTATAAATATAAACATTAACACAAAACTTTAATATCTTCAACTATACCTCATTCTGAAGTTCATCACCACTTTTAACAGAGGCAAGCATATCATATAAAGTGCAGCAAAGATCTTCTATTCTTGGTGCTTCAGTCATTCCCTTTAACGTTGTATTTAAGTACTTCTCAACTTCACACCACAAGAAGGACCCATTTGTTTTTTCCACAGGCTTGACCTCTACGGTACATTGGTCCTGAAAACGTTCATTCAGAAACTTCTGGTAATCTAGACTTATCATTTTCTGGGCTTCACCATTTATTGGAAGTTCATCAAAGTGGTCCAAATCATGCATATCAAATGAAAATACTATATTTTTACCAAATAAAACTCTATCACCATTTTCCTCTTCTGTCATCCGGAGAAGAGCAGTAAGATTGTCTTCACTAAAATGAGAAGTAATTCGACTAGTGGCATTACAAGCTGCAGTGGCAGATGATGATGGAAAGGGACCAAACATCTGTTTGACTGCCTTTGTCTCCTTGTGACCAACAGAGTTCTTCAAGTAAAATGTCCTGAAGAGAAATGCGGCCCCACTTTCAATTGCTTCTTTTCCATTATCCATTCCAACTATTCAAAGACAATACAAATAGTATTAGTTCAATTGGATCATGGTTTAAGTTATAATTTTCAAAACATTACTACATATATTCTTTTCAAGGAATGCAAGTGTCACAACATTATAATAAAGATAACCATTTAAGAGCAGAAAGTATCCCTTTAAATTTATTCTCTAATTTAAAAAGGTGAATAAATTATGAGTAATTATTCTAACTCTAGATAAACAAATACATACTAACAACCCTTTACCTCTTCTT